GAAAGAGAAAAAGCTGGGGTGTGAGGGGGGGTGTGAATGAACAAAGCATCTATCATCTGGCACATAGTAGGGCACACAACCATGTCAACCCATGAAGTATTTGCTTACAAGCAGCCTTGAGCCAGGCTTCCTAGAAAGCAAGTAAAGAGATGTAGCCTCCTTCCTAATGTAAAGGGTGGACTGACTTACATCTCAAGCAAATATTTACTGAGCACTGACTTGTGTAAGTCACTCAGTTGCTTTGCACTATGCTAGGCACAGATTGTAATGACGCAGATGGACATCTTGAGAAACAAAAGAAGAAATGTGAATTGAAAACATAAAATGAAGAGAGAAAGGATGTGCACTTTAGATGCATGGAAAGCACTCAGCACTGTGCCCAGCCAGAGAGAGTTTTAGATACATGAAACCACCGATTCCCAAGTACTGTTCAAGACGGAGGCACTATTTTATGAACACAGCAGAATGGCTCTATGAAATGCAGTTTTCTTTTCCTATATAGACCTTTGGGGGTGAGAGAGGGGGCAGGTTTTTGCAGCTACTAGGGACCACGGGGAGAAGCAAGTGGCACGAAAGTCCCTCTGCTTACTGAGCTTGTACAATGCACTGATGCCTTTCCCTGCGTGACTTCATCTAATCCCCACCAAACCCTGCAGATGGGTGCTATGAGCCTCTCTGAAGCTCAGAGAGGTTACATAACTTGCTGAGTTCATACCCCGAGCCCATTGCAAAGCCAATTCTCACCAGCCCTGTGAGACTCCAGAGCCTGCACTGCTAATGATTGCCTTGGTGGTTGCAAACTCCTACTATGAATAATTCACTAGTGATGACAAACTGTAACATACTATACAAATAGAAGTTGCTGTAGTTTTACACCAAGGTTTTTATGTCAAACCTGTGATAGAGAAAATCTTGTCTGTAAGTAACTGAGTGAAGCCATTGGTGAGGAGTGTAAGTAACTGGCAGGCCAGCGATCTCTACCCGGCAGTGGTGCCAGGAAGAACTCGAAAGCTCCGAGAATGATCTGAGATGGAAGCACATTTTGCACAGAGGTGCTCCTGTCTTGCTTTCTTTCCTCCCTCCTCTCTTCCTTCTTTCTTATCAAAAGCAATCTGCATATATCCCTACAATCTCCAGGTACTATCGACAACCATGCACCTTTGCTGTTTTCATTTCTTTTGCTTTTTAAAAAAATATCTCTCCATAAAAGAAAAACTTGCAACAAAATACAGGTCCACAGGGAGTTTTTTTTGCAGGTTCCCCATCTCCTAGACCTCTCTGCGCCTCTGAGCCCTGCAGGCCTTCCAGGCTGTGTTCCAGCTCTCCCCACTCCCACCGCCCGCTCAGCGGAGCCCTCTGACACAGCTGTGGTGGAGAACACCCTGTAGCACGGGCACCCAGAGGAAACCCCAGTGAAGCAGGGGAATAATTCATTCTTCTAAACACAGCAAAGTTTTCAAACTTTAAAACGGAGCCTTGATTAGAAGAAAAGCCTTGGTTTTTTTTTTTCCCCTAAGAGCCTGGCATTTCTGAAAAGGTCCCCTACCCAAACCACAGTAACCTCAAAAACTCTGCCCACTGAGTTGAAAATAAAAGTTCATGGAGACCAAAGGCCCTCTCACAACAACTGCTCACCACTTTAGAAGTCTTCCTTCCAGTGCTTACCAGTTTTAACATTTTTTAACTGAGGGCCTCAAGTTTGCTGGAATCTTTCTTCCTTGCAAAGCCCCAGGGCTTTCTCGGCCAGTAGCATTTATTTTCTATGATATCAACTAATGATAGATGGAGAGATGATTTGGTTTTTGAAAACAACAAATTTGACAATTGAGTAAAAGAAGCAAAACTTCTAGAAACAGAAATGTCAACCTTTATAGAGGTCATAAAAGTATAATACAAAATTAGTCAATTTTCTGTTTGGTGGAGCAAAGAATTAGACACCCCAGTTCTTTCCCTACTATAGCCTTATTATCAATAGTGGGACTGAACATCACAAAGAGAACATGGCAAAATGTTTAAAGCCATCCATCAATTCCCTCACAAATAGGTTTGAGTTTATGCCAGGAACCCAAACCTGGAACTTCATAAAAGCCTAAAAATTTCCATAGGACCTTCACCTACCCATGCATAGTTAGAACTGGTACACAGATTAGAAACACATCAGGTGTATGAACACCCCAAATTTAGCCTAACCATTCAGAAAAATAAAAAAGGTGATTGTGGAACTCAAAAAAAAATCACTCATGCTTATTTTATTTTTTTAGAATGAGAAATTCTGCGTCTGTAACATTCAAAGAAACACTATCTTCTCCAAAAGTCTAATATTAGCTCAAAGTGATCTCTCTCACGGTAGACATGGGATTGAAAACAAACACACTGACATAATTTTCTTCATGAAATGCATTTGTACCTAAAAAAGCAGATGCTGGTGCTATCATTAGCAACCACGAATCACTTGTTAGATTATTCAAATAAATGACAGTTTGAAATCTAAGTTGCCTTGAGTTGCCTGGTCCTGCGACTGCCTCACTGAGGCTGTGCTGACCTTCTGCACAAGGGGGTGGGCAGGAAACACCCAGGATCGGAGCGCTAACTAACCTTGGCCAGCCTGCAGCCTGTCCAGAGGCTTTCTTACCCCTTTAAAACGAAACAACTACAATGCAAACCCATGTCACCTGTCAAGTAGACGATGCTCTTATGTTTTGTTGAGGATTAACTAGCCACACAAAAATGGAAACTATACAACTATTTTGAAGTAATTCTGTTTTGAGGGTCAGATCTGACACGACAGAAACCACATAATCTCCCAGCACAAGTCAATCCAGCCCTTGTTGCCTAAATTTAGACCACAGTCAGCTGCAATCATGGATAGATTTCATTTTCTTCTACTTTTTATGATTCTCCCCCTCTTCCCTCCCTCTATCTTGAGCTGTTCACATTCCAAAAACTACAACCAGAATGTAGG